GTCAGGACTGACTCAAAGGCACTTAAAAACAACATCAATTGTAGATATGGAACAGCTGATACATCACAAAGAAGAGGAATTGATAGATCAGAACTTGCTAGGGTTTGAAGAGGAAAGAGATACTAAAGAAGAAAGAAGTACGTAAAGAAGGAGAGAAGCTATAAAAAAATCTAACAGTGAAAGGGTGAGCTAGAGTATTTTAAAGCTAAATTAGGGACCTCAGTAGCTTGAAAACATGGACCCAAATGCTGATGGCTTTACTAAAATTAACACACAAACTTCGGAAGCAGTGAGCTGTTACCATGAAATATATGAAGAAGGAATAAAAAAGGAACATACAGACAACTCTCACTAACTTTCTAACTAGAAACAACATCCCCATTCCTAGAGACAATCCACATGGTCCAGAACCTTCCATGACTAGAATTAATATCACAATTGACAAAAAAACCAACATCATCCAGCTATTCTTCATCATGGGAATAAATATTTATGATTGGTATGTTCTTTATGTATTTATTAAATAAAATATACCTGGTAAATTATATGTTGTGTTTCCAATCCCTCAAAACAAAGAGATTGAATTTACAAGACATTGAAAATAAAAGGCAATAATAATGAAAACTTTTTTTTTAATTAGGTATTTCACATATATCACAACTGACAACAGTTGTCAGAAAGGAATACTATCGTTAAGTCGGGGACTACCTGTAAGAAAACTGAGCTGTCCATCAACAAAGGATGTTACTCACTAGAAACCCAGAGGCTGCCTGAAAGCACTCTCCTCAAAATGCTCATCTCTTTGCTACACATTTCTGTAATGTTAAGTTGTGTGTAAGTATGTGTATTTTAAATTTGGGTTTCTACTGTCTTGAAAATCAGGATATAGAATTTAAGAATGAAGGAGAAGGGTTGGAAGAGAAGGGGAAAAGAGAGAAGAAGAAACTTTTTGTGAAGGGAAGGAGAGAGTAAATTTATTTCCAAAGTTCCATTTACTCCTCTAACCCATTTTGAAGACTTATAGCACCTCCTTATTAGAACAACAAAACCAATTAAAGCAGACTAATAAATCAGTCTGCCTCCAGAGAAAATACCGTGGGGACATCAGAGTGAGAACTAGAGTGGGAAATGACCTTCTGTCTTAATAAATCACCCATTCCCTGGGTTTCAAGCCTGCCAGTACTTGAAATCTATGAATATGGTCTATTGAAAACAAAAATAGAGATGCACCTTTTAAAAAGGAGTAAATGCAAGAAACTCTGGAGAGAAAGGAAATTAAATATCCATACAGCCCCTTCCTGAGACCCTACACCATGGGAAAGGGACTCCTTGATGTACAGCCAGTTTGCTCATTTGAATGGGGCCACTGCCTTGGGGAACAGCTCATACTGAAATGGAGCCCACCACCACTCCAGTACCCTGCCAGCTGGGGCAGGTGGGGATCACAGGACTGGAGAGGGATTGGGAGAATTGTGTGCTCCTTCCCACTCATCTTACAGATATAGATGATCAGAAGTGGTGATAACAAAACAAGAAAGGCCAATTCTTTGTCGTCAGCTCATTTCCCACTTTGGTGACCCCATGTGTTATAGAGTAGAAATGTTCCTATGTTGCTGCTGTTATTGAGGGGGTGGGGGGGGTAGGAGGTGATATTTACAGAAGCAGATCACCAGGCTTTTCTTCCATTGGATTGCTGGGTGGATTTGAACCACCAGCTTCTTAGTTATTAATTTAGCACAAACCATTTGCACTATCCAGGACCTTTTTGAAGTGGCAATATGTATTTATTGAGCTGTATGCTAAACGATTCACGATTCATCATTACAAAGACCTGTTTCTCGGATTAGGACTTTGAGACCTTGAAAGATGGAGTATCCAACAAGAGACGCATGGTCAGATAGTTTCAACAGATGGTGCTGGCAGAACTGGAAAGTGATATGCCAAAGATTGAAACAAGACCTTTACCTCACGCCTTATACAAAAACCAACTCAGCATGGATTAAAGACTTAAATGTGAATCCCAAAATTATGAAGGTCATCCATGAAAAAGTAGGGACAAATGTGAGGGCTCTAATTCAGGGAATACACAGACTATCAAACATTTTGAAAATTACGCAAACAAAAGTAGACAAAATAGATGATTGGGGCATACTAAAAATGAAAAACTTATGTGCATCAAAAGACTTCATCAGAAGAGTAAAAAGAGAACCCACAGAATGGGAAAAAATCTTTTGTGATAACACATCAGACAAGGGACTCATTTTTAAAATATATAGGAAACTACAACACCTCTAAGGATCTCTAGTAGCGTAGTGGTTATGAATCAGGCTGAGAACCTTAAGGTTGGCAGTTTGAAACTACCAGCTGTTCCGTGTGAGAAAGATGAAGATTTCTGCTCCCGTAAAGATTTACAGCCTTGGAAACCCTATGCAAGGTCGCTATGAGTCGGAACCTACTCCTCGGCACATCACTACCACCACCACAACACCTCTACAAGAAAAAGACAAATAACCCAATTAAAAACTGGGCACAGGACATAAACAGACACTTCACCAAGGAGGAGATCTGGGCAGCCAACAAACATATGAAGAAATGTTCACGATCACTAGCCATTAGAGAGATGCAAATCAAAACAACAATGAGATAGCATCTCACACCAGCAATAACAGCAAAGACCAAAAAAGTAGAGGACAATAAATGTTGGCAAGGATGTGGAGAGTTTGGGATGCTCTGCATTGCTGGTGGGATTGCAAAATGGTCCAACCTCTGTGAAAAGCAATATGGCGCTTCCTCAGAAGGTTGGAAATAGAAATACCTTATGATCCAGAAATTCCTCTACTTGGTATTTACCCACAAGAAATACGAGCCATAACACGAGTAGATATATGCACACCAACGTTCATAGCAGCACTATTTACAATAGCAAAAAGATGGAGACAGCCTAAGTGCCCATCAATGGAAGAATGGATAAACAAACTGTGGTACATACACACAATGGACTATTATGCTACATTGAAGAATAACAAGGAAGCTGTTAGCTATCACATAACATAGATGAACCTTGAAGACATTATGTTGCGTGAAATTAGGCAGTCACAAAAGGAGAAATGCTGCATAGGACCACTACTGTGGTCCATACTAAAGGGTGGGGGGATTCTTTGCTGGTTACCGTGATGTGGGGGACAGGGGGAGGGGAAGGAGGGGGAGCTCAGGGTAAGGAATAGACACAGGATAGTTTGGATGCTAGGGAGGGGGGCAATACACAAGAAGGGGGAGGGAATTGGAAGAACAAGGCAGATGGGAAAACAATTAGGCAGGTTTGCATGGGCTAAGTGAGACAGAGGTAAATAATGATGTATGCACAACCTTGGAACAACAGAGCTCTGGGATATAGGGATTGAGACATGGTTGGAATGGGGAAAAGGGGGGAAATAATGTTAAGATGCTTGGCTGACTTTCAATCTTGGTTTCCCTGGCATACTATTATAAAATAGATACTTGAGGGGGAGAGAAAGGAATAGCCAGAAACATCACCATAGAACGGTTGTAAATCCATCTTTTGCCTACAAGTGATTGGAATACCTAAAATGGGGCTACAACATGCCCAGTGAAGGAGGTTTCCTGCAGAGCCTCTGAATTACATAAGATTTTTCAGGAATCCTGAACTCCACCCAGAATCTTCTGAGGTGAGAAATTTCCACCGGAAAGGACAAGTAGACCAGCTTGGAGCGGCTAGAAAAACAGAAAATACTTCTTGAAAGAAAGACCAACAGGAAAAATACAAAACAATAACAGCAGTCCGACTGAGTTGCTCGCCCAGGAGACATCAAGGCAAGTAGTCAGGTCCCCTCAGGGAAAACCCCCTTCCAAGACTGAGACTCAATGGGAATACATGAGCAGACATGTGCTCTGACTGGTGACCTCTGACTGGGGAAGTGAGAGAAAAACAGCAATGAAGCTGCGAGATAAGTCCAACTATGTTCAATAGACAGGTGGAGACCTCGTTGGCCAGCAGTGTGGCAAGACCTGGGGACTCTTGGGCCCAGAGTCAGTGACATAGCCAGAGAGGACTAGAGTGGAGAATGAAGCATCCAGCTGATAAGAAGAGAGGGCATATGCACAAGAACACCCACACTTACAGATAATACCCACTTGACATGGCTTCAGTGGCTGGATGATCAGAGCTCAGCTAGAAGAAGAAAGAAGAGGAAAAAAAAAAGAGTAATCTGATACAATTTGATGAATTTACACCTATTGATGCAGTAGCTCAAAAGAGGGAACACATTTTTACAGCGAGGATCATTCCTACCCCCTCAATACACAGAGCAGACGAGGATGGGCAACTTGGACATTGGCTATCCAAAATGGGTGGGAGTGGGGGCTACAAAGGCAGAAAGTGACTGGCTTACAAGCTTTCAAGAGGGAGCCTAGATCCAGAGGGCGCAGAGGAAGGTAGAATCTCCACTGAGTAGAATCCAACCTGTCTGGGTAGGATTGATGAAAGGAGATGTGGAGAACATTCATGTGGTACAATAGTGAATGATTACTATCAGGACTGACTGTGAGGGTTGGAAATGTAAAGGTAGACGTTTTTGTAGCACTAGGAGGGGAGTGATTGACTTTGCAGGCCAGGAGCATCAAGGGAGAAGAGCGGAGTGGGAGAGCCAGACACTACCCAGAGCAACAGTGACGCCAGAGATGGAGGCAGAGAAGATGATGTGGAGAGATGGAGCGGCTGGGGGCTTTAGACCCCCCAAGAGGGAGAGGGGCTGTGGGCTGAAGACCAGGGTGCAGGCTTGCCGCGTGTACCATTTGGTTGGTTGATGATGTATGGCGGGGATTGTAACCAAGGCAATGTAACGATATACGATTGGATGAATGCAAAGCTAATGTTGTCCCATGTAAACTATCACACAATTCACAAAATATTTTAAAAGAGAGAGAAACCCAAGTCCAAAGCCTCCGTTGGACCGGCTGGTACCCGCCTCCAACCCACTTACCTGTTCATCCCAGCGATGCAACTGGCTGTAGCGCACCCGGCAGAAGAGGAACCCATCCAGATACACAGAGTACAGCTGCAAACACACAAACATCCCGGTTTCAGTCCCCGCTTAGCTGAGGGAGCAACTGAGCCCCTGTTTCCAAACTATCCCTGGGCCCCCTCCCCGCCCACTTGGCCCTGGCTCCGGCGCACCACGTAGCGGCCCCCCAGGGCATCTGGACGCTGCTGGGACACAGGGATACAGAAGTGCATCTTCATGGCTCGGGCAGCAGCCCGGGAGCAGCCTAGAGTACAGGACCTGAGGCGGCGACACGTCCTCGCTCGCAGCACTGGGCACCGGGCGCTGGGAGCTGCTAGCCCAGCACATCGCCAGGGGCGGGGCCCTTACGCTGCTCCCCTCGCCCCGGGCGTTGATAGGTGGGGCTGGGGCCAGAACGGCGCCCCTCCTAGTCACCGCCCAGCTCTTGCCGCTGCTCCCGAGCCTGCATAGTGGAGGGTAGTGCGTGTCTACAGCTGCCCCTAGTGTGGTCCAAAGGTGCAGCCAGGCAAGTCTCTCGGGTGCACCCACGAGCCACATGAACCCACAAAAGTCCTGAATCGTAGCTCCAGTTGTAGCCTTGCCCCGAGCAACTGCCCACTCCAGCATCTCAGGGTCAGGACCTCTCAGCACCCTGGAGGTGAATCTGGAGAGAAACAGGCGGTCCTGCGTGTCCGCTCCAGGGCCACACTCAGACCTCTGAGGTTTGAACAATGTTTGGCCCACGTTCCAAAGGGCTTATGGGGCAGTGAGGGAGGGAGGGAGGCTGTCAGACAGACAGAGCACATTCAACACCTCAGACTGTTGAGGGTTTCTCCAAGTAGGAGTCCTGAGGTGGTTAAAAAAGTGTGTGTTCCATTACCTACCCACACTGCCTGCAATGCACGATGAATTAAGATTTTTCTTTTTAAATACACC